GTGAAATAAAAGAACCGCAACCTAGCCAAGTAAAACCAGTATGGAGATTTTTATCTGAAATAAAAAGCTATATGAATGAATTAAGTAATATTAATAATGTTAAAATTGATAATGACACGACCATGAACTTTACCGGAATTAGAAAACATCCATCTTCGATGTTCTAAATGAATGAGAGGTAAAGTATTTGAATGAATGAGGCTAGGGTTTCTAAGGAAATTAGTGTAAGCACTATCCATATATAAATTTAGCCAATCATCATCTTGGAAATAACAATAATCGTATTTAGCCATAGAACATGTTATATATTTAGAAAGATCATGAAGATTTTCGTCAGAATTAAACACGTTCAAAACGACATTTGTGTTATCGAGTTTGAAATCCTGGGATAATTAATTAATATTTAATTAATAATATTATAATATTTTTTTTTATTAAATTTTTTTTATTAATTTACTTAAATTGCTTAGATGTGTAACAAAATTACCTCAACATTAAGCCTTGTTTCATTATTATTATTCCATATTAAGATTTCTTTTATATAAGGATATTTTGAAATATAATTAACCACTATCTTTAAACTGTTAATTCGTTTCCACCCCAACACAACCGCTGTTACCGGAATAAGTTTGTTCCTTTTTAAAGCGTCTTCTGTAAATTGTTCTGGTTTATAAAAACTTGATCTAGAATCGATCTTTTCGTTCAGATTTATTCGCCAAGTTATTTGTAATCGGTCTGTTGAAGAAACTTCTGTGTCTGAGGATCCAGTTAATTCCGGCAACGCATGAGGATCAGAATAATATCGAGACTTTACAAGGATTAGTATGGTTGCGCCGAGCAATAGTACAATTAAGGTGAACCTAATATTCCTATTCCTTCTAAGACTAAAAAAGCGAATATAAAATAACGCCGATCTCCTGCAATGAAATAGATCGTTCCCTTGACTTTTTTCGAACATTGCAAAAGCTTAGGACCTTTGGCGTAAAGACTCTTACACCATCAAAGATAAAAAAAAAAAAAGAATGTGTAAAAAAAAAATATATTTGAGATGTGTTACGAGATCAATTTCTAACTTATCGATTTTATTAACTGTGCATTGTGTTATGTCATGACAAGGAAGTAATTCATCGATTCGATATAATCAAAGCAGTACATGTGATTAGGTAAATCTTTCTACAAAAATCGCATTTGAGTATATAAAAAAACTAGCATACTATACTCATATAAGGCCATATAAATTTAATAAATTGGTTTTCATAATCCGGCCGGGTCAAGGTTTAAAAACTTTCAAATAATTCTTTTTATATGTTTTAACAAGCACAATATCAAACTTACGATCATAACGTTCAACAGTAGGTTGCAACCCAAACCTTTTTTTTTTGATATGACATTACTTCATAGTTTGGGTAGTTGGGTTTTGGAATCGGAATTTTTTACTTCATTTCGGACCATAAACAAAACTCAAATATAAATTCCTCATTTTCGATTAAACTCAAAAACATCAAATTTGTTAAATCAATATTATAAATTATTAAAACTAACAACACAGAGTGATTTAGCGATTAAGGGGGGTCTTTTTAAATAATATGTACACATAAATTAAAAATAATTAAAAATACCTAATTGTTTTTAAAATGTAAAAGTGTTTAATAAAAATTGATCATTTATATTCCGGCTATATTATTCTAATTGTAAGAACCCTGAATCATTTAAGTTATTTGGTTGATCCTACTAGTAATCATATGCTTGTCCCAAAGATTAAGTCATGTTTGTCTACTTGTCCAATTATAAATTGTTTATACATGAAACTGTGAATAACTCTCTAAACAAGTTATAGTTTATTTGATAGTACTATTATTAAATTGATAATCGTGGTAATTCTAGAGTTAATACATGCTAAAAGTTTCGACTTTGGAAGGGATATATTTACAGTATCACGGGTCTGTTTATCACGAATTTGAGACGCAGCTTTAGCGTCATTAAAAAATCGTCTTTTTTCAGTGTCATTTTTAATTAAGATTATGTGGAGATATAGTTGTTAGGCGAAACCTAAGAGGTTTCGGCATGACAAAAGGCGAAACCTAGTTTCGTCTTTCGTCAAAAAAAATTTTGAAATGGCAAAACGGCGAAACTAATGAAACTGACGAAACTAATAAAAGGTGGCGAAACTGCTGAAAGGTGTCGAAACTAGTAAAAGTTGGCAAACTGACAAAAGTGAAACAATTAAAAGGTAACAAAACTTACATTAAATAATAAAATTAATAAAAATTAATAAAAATTAATAAAACGTGATAGAAATAAAACCAAAAAGTTATTTTTATTAATATATATGTTGTACATCAGATTAGGGACCATGGAAAATATCTATTTAGATATTATTCAATATTTTATTAGAATTTTTTTTTTTTACATTTAAGTTAATTTTTACGTTCTAGGTAATATAAAGGCTGAAAATAAATTATATTCTATGGAATAGGCAGATGAATTCTATTATTGCCATCTAAAGTACCAGAAAGTTGTGCTTCTCAAATTCGAATAACTTTATTTCTTTAATCGCTTAATTGTTTACCGTTTAACTCAGCTGGCATTAAGATAATCTTGTTTCATGTTCAGACATAAAGTGAACATGGCCATACCTAAAACATTAATTAGTTAATAACAATACTATGGTAGTATAAAAACATAATAAAACTTAGTTATTATTTTCTTACGGGTTGCCTAAACTTTTAAGTATATGAAATTCGAAATTTTGTCTTCAAATTCGCCAAATTCAGAAAAGGCCCTTCGAGTTGATTAAAATTGCCTATACGCGTAATAATTTTGTTATGGGGAGTATGAATGCCGTATACATCCTTCGCATAGGTTTTCATTATAAGATCCTTGGAATACTATAATGTTGAATATCTATAAACATTATTTGAATTTACCTCTGTGAAAATAATTTTAATAAAAAATTGTTCATTATTTTAAAAAAGAATTCAACTCCACGCCTTCAAAGTCCTCGAATGCCTTGTCTATAAAGCTCCATGCGTTTATTAGCATCCACGATTCTAGGTGATCTTTCATGAAGTTTCCTGCTTCGTATTCCAAAACAAATAATATAAATAACTAATATATAAGAATATTTTGTAAACATATTATGACGAATTTGTGAAATTTGACCTCTATTTATGTTCATAAATTTAATATTTATTTTCCTCGGTACTATAATCAAAGAAACTAAAATAAAGTCAAATTCCACAAATTCGCTATGATGAAAATCACAACTAAATCGTTAAATACAGATTTACCTGGACAAATAATATCTGCAATATTTTTGTACGGAACCATTCTTCTAATTTATATTACGATGATAACTTTGTCTAAAATATAAAATACCGTTATTTCAATCGTCAATTTTCAGAATTGTCAACTATAAAATATCTACCTGCATTCGATATTTTTGGTGAATGGATTTCGTTTCGTGCTAACAACTTTTTTTATTTCATCGGTATTATATCTTCTATTCTCTTACCAATGTAAAAATAAATAAATAAAAAAAAACTTAAATTATGAGCAAGGTGAAAAATTTTTGAAGCAAAATTTGTCATATTATAAAGTTATTATCGACTTGACTTACATGCCAGAATATTCATAATTTGATTTATTGCTTTTCATACCGTGATTGTTATCATCGTTGTGATCGCTATTATCGTAATTATTATTATCTTTGTGCGATTTTTTGTTTTCTTTCTTACAACTCGTACGACTTGATTTTGATTATTTGAGTAGATTTCCAAAACTCGGTAATAGTTATAGATTTAGAGCTATTCTAAATATAAAAGTATTTGTTAGATAAATCTAAATAACTAACTAATAAATTTAATGTTTTTGGTTCCGCTAGTTAATCAACACCGTCGTTTTTGCGGCTAACAATATGTTTTTATATCAACTATGCCACCTCCACTAAATTAATTACCGGTATACATGCAGCACTATTGAACCTGAATAATACAGTATAATTCCTCCTTTTATATCAATTGTGCAAGTAATATTATTGATTCTGGCTGATACTATTGATAACAATTATGCCTCCAAATAAACAAATTATTGTTTTTGCCGATACTGCATATTGATATCAATTATGCTTTCTCCATTAAATCAATTATGCATATAGCACCATCGATTTTGGCTAGTATAACACTATTGATAAAATATACCTTCAAGCTAAACAACACCATTGTTTTTGCGGTACAGCATATTGATATCAAATTATACCTCCTCTACTAAATCAATATACATACTGCACTATTGGGTTTAGGTGGTACTGTCTCATCCTATATCAACTATGCAAGCAGCACCATTAATTTTGGTCGGAACAGCACTGTTGATAACAACTTATGCTTCCGCATCTAAACAACTATGTTTTTTTAACTAATAAAACCAGTTATTAAATATCAACTAGAAAGTTACCTTAAACGAAATATAACAACCTAACGCGAATTTTCTTGTTTCTTTAGCTTTGCGTATAAAGTTAAACGTTCCAGGTATTTCAATAATGTATTCATGTTGGATATGTCAGAATAATTCGCATTGGATATGTTGAGATTTCTCTTGAATAATCTCTTTGTCATTGCGATAATTTAGGTATTCTGGTAAGGTCCAGAAACTTCTTTGAAAAAAAGTTTAACGTTGATTATTTTATCTTCGAGTTCATCGTCGTTTGGGTCTTCTAGTCTAACTAGGTTATTAAGATCTATTTCTTAAAAAGAAAAAAAAAAACGATGCGATATATTATTAGCAGTATCTTAAGAAAAAAAAACGCGAAACAACAAAAGTGCGAAATAACAATTAATGTAAACACGTTAATATTTAAAGATTTAAAGTAGAAGTAGAGCGTAATCATGTGTTGTGTAACCTCGTGCACAACAAAGTACAGACTCAAAATCTGTATTTTGCTGTGCACGAGGTTACACAAACGTAACACTCTTAAATACTGATAAATTTTCAGAAGAGTCTACGTATATATATCGATATGGGGCCTTTGCAGTAGAAAGAGTAGATACTGCAATATATGGGTAATGGACTAGGAAAACCTACTTCCGAAGGGGGGTTTCCATTTTGAGAAAATGGCGATTAATTGTTTTGTGTTACCTAAATTTTACCTGAATTTTTTGTTTATTTTTAGATATCAATTACAAACAATGTCATGTGATTATGAAACACTGATTGACCAATCTAATTTAATTGAGTCAATCTTTGGTTGTAAATCTATTTTTAGAACACGAATATTAAAAAATTGGGTTACATTCAAGCAATAAATTATTAATTTGAACCTAGTCCATGAGTTTGTTTTGTTTGGACTGATCCGGGTTAATCAGAAATTTCATGATTTGATTGGTCAGTTATATCGGGTGATCTCGTGATGTACGAAACCTCCAAAAAATAAATTCAGAAACAAGTTTTTAAAAAGAGCTGGGAGTTTACGGTTCAAGAGTTTATCGGTTCAATAAAATTAGATGACGTTAATTAGTTATTAAGTTGCGCAAACGGGTATTATTATATTTATATAGATTTGTTAGTATATTTATATCGGTAAGGTATACGGATATTAATATTTTTTATTTTATTTTATTATAAGATAGAAGGGTAGAAGGGTATTGTATAGAAGAAAAGCAGTGCAGGATCTGAGAAAAATATATTATGCTCTATTAATTAATTAATAATAATTAA